AAAAAAAAAAAAAAAAGGAAAGAAAGAAAAGAGAGATGACTGGCTTATGGGCCTGAGAAAGGGGCTGAAAGTGCAGTGGGAGAATGCTAGGAGGAAAGGAAATGAGTCTTACTTGGTCCAAAGACCCCTGTGTGGGGCAGCTGAGCAGCCTGTAGCCTCAGGGAAAGCAGGTCTACATAGATAGCTGGTGAAATCATGATGCTTGAGTTTCTGCAGCTGAAGCTCCAGCCCAGGGGTGCTTGGAGATCTTGAAGGGATGAATTCTGAGCTGAGAATTCGTACTCTGAAGGAGTAAAGAAAGGTCAGGTTCTGTCCACCTCCCCATCTAATTCCATTAGGAGCCCCAGCATCTAGTGTTAGCATTGAGGAAGGGAAGGACGTTACCTTTTGCTTGGGGGAAGGACACATGGTACTCCACAGCCATATAGCTCAGATAGACAGTGCTCTGCTTTAGGTCCTAGGGGGACAGGAAGCCTCAGGGCAGTGAGTGGGGTGAGGATTGTAGGGATGGGGCACTGTGGGGAGTGGAGGGGATTGAGGGTGAAGTTATTTAGCTATACCTGTTGGAATCCAAAGCTGAGCTGTCCATAGGGGAATGAGAGAAGCAGGTGGGGGTGGGCACCTTCACAGCTCCCTTGGGACTTGGTTTTGTTAGGGTTCAGTTCAGAGAGGCCCCAGGCCTATGAGGAAGATAGAGGGTCATGAGACTACATGGCCACTATTCTTACTTCCTCCCTCTGAGCCATAACAAATCTTGCCTCCTTTCATTCATGTCCCTGCTGATTTAGGTTTACCTTTCCATTCTGGGTTGAGTACAAGACTCGGATCTGAATCTGGGCATGAAGGTGGACGCAGGGTTGGGAATTATTAGTCCACATGTAGTCTCCGGTAGCCTCTTGGGAGCCTGGGCTAGGAGGATTTGGAGTGGGTGGAAATGGTCCTGAGTGGTGGGAAGTGGTAGACAATCCTGGGCTGGTGGCAGTGCTGTTGCTTGTGGGATGAACGGTGGAATTTCTATGACTGGTGGTGGTCGTGGTGGCAGGATGGTGAGTGGGTCCATGGCTGGTAACCGTGCCTATGCTTGTTGGATGAACTGTGGTATTTCCATGACCAGTTGTGGTGGCAGGATTATGAGTGGCAGTTGTGGGTCCATGGCTGGTGGTGGTGGTTCTATGAGTAGTAGTTCTGTGACTTTTGGTAGTCCTCTGGCTGGTTGTTGCAGTGCTTTCTGTAGCTGTAGGTGTCACCGTGAAGGATGGGAGCAGAGTGGCCGATTTTTTGTGAGGACAATCATTCCCCATCCCCTGGGCTTTCAACAGAGGTGAGACTGGTTAGCAACTCCGGGACAGGCTCCTTCCTGGACTCTCCCTCCCTTCAGCCCCATTTCTCCTTACCTGCTAGTAGCCCCAGCAAAGCTCCTGAGAAAATCACAGCCAACTTCATGGTAGAACTGCCTCATCCAAAGTCCAGCTAGGCGGTCTGAAACCAGTTGCTTAGCCCTAGTCTCAGCTTTCTCTCAGAAAGGAGGAAATGAAAGATATACTTCCTGTTACTGAATAATCCCACCCTCAACCTGACTCAGACACCTCAGCTCTAGCCACCAATCTCTTAGTCATTTCGTAATTAAGCTAGGGGACTACTGACCCAGAATTGCTAAGTAGGAATGGCTAGGGCAAAGTCAAGATTATCACGTGGGCACAGAATGAGATGGAGAGTTCTGGGCTAATTTGTCTACCTCAGCAAAACTTGCTAAGCAGCTGTAGCAGTCACAGGACCAGTTGAGACAGCAGATTCCTCATTAGCCTCCCAGAAAAGTTTGACAGGCATTAGAACCAGTTCATCTCCACACCCCTTCCCCTTGACCCCATTACTCTCAATCTATTGTTTTCCGCTTAGCCCTAGCAAGTGAGGCACTTATGACAGTACACCCCCCCCCTTCACAGGGTCATACTCTCTAGTTCACCTATTCTCTGAAGAGCAGTAAGAGAATGCATTATCTGCTAACTTATATACTAAGAAGGAAGCAACCCAGGTAAAAGGTTATTAACTGATGAAGGGGGGACTTAATGTGTGCCCAGTAGCAGGTGGGAGAGGGTAGGGGAGGTTAAGAAATGAGAAGCCCAAACAGGCAGTTTCCAAATCATTTTATTCAGAATTTTGTGTTTGTTCCTGAATCAATAAATACTATACAAAACAATGTAAAAATGGCTACCATTTTGTCTCCCCTGCTCCCCCCACCTGGGGACAATCCCCTGGACCACTGCATTTGTTTCAGGGGATTCTGCCTCCAGATTTGGTCCAGCAAATGAGGTTGAGTGACATATACAGCCCCTTGACTCATTTTCAAAGGAATTCAGCTGGGGTGGAGAGAGCCTCTGGGATCTGGAGGTGACTAGGTTAGGGAAATGGATTAGTGTCTTTTGGGAGAAGAGACGGCGCCTGGGGCAAGAGCCTACCCCAAAGAAAAGGGTGTCTAAAATGTTCACGGTTCCTTCTTTTGCCTCAAAAAGTGACATTTATTCAAAGAAAAAAAAAAAAAAAGAAAAAAAATGACAAGATGTCCATCCCTTGGCTCCCTTCCCTCCCCCCTCCTGCTGCTCCTCAGCCCCCCAAGATTGAACCCTGGCTGGGGCTAGGTAGCAGGACAGCCCCTCTCAGATGAGGTCTGCAACGTTGAGGGGCATCTCCTCAATGGAGGTGTTATAGAAGGTCTCGATGTCTCTAAGAGTCCTCTTGTCTTCTTCTGTCACCATGTTGATAGCCACACCCTTACGGCCAAACCTTCCACCACGACCGATTCTAGAAAACAGGATGAGGGAAGATGAGGAACATCAAAAGCTTCACCTGGAGGCTGGTGCATTCCAGATCCACTCTTACCTGTGGATATAGTTTTCTCTGTTGGTAGGAAGATCATAGTTGATGACTAAAGAAACCTGCTGCACATCTATGCCTCTGGCCTGTGTGAAGACAACAACTTCAGCCATGTGGACCAAAAAATGAAAGGTATCCCAAAGGTTATGATATGCATGTAGGCAGCCAAGGGAAGGCAAAGGAAATTAGCATCCCCTGTCCCCCAGAGACCTTAGGCATGCCAGATTTTATTCCAAGTTGCTACTTTCCTGAGAGAGGCACTAGCTGGCCTCTTGGAGAGGGAATCACCTTGGATTCTCCCTTTTTTTTTTTTTGAGACAGAGCCTCAAGCTGTCCTCCTGGGTAGAGTGCCGTGGCATTACAGCTCACAGCAACCTCCAACTCCTGGGCTCAAGCGAGTCTCTTGCCTCTGCCTCCCAAGTAGCTGGGACCACAAGCGCCCGCCACAACGCCCGGCTATTTTTTGGTTGCAGCCGTCATTGTTGTTTGGCAGGTCTGGGCTGGGGATTCGAACCCGCCACCTTAGGTGTACGTGGCTGGCGCCTTAGCTGGTTGAGCTATAGGCGCTGAGCCGATTCTCCCCTTTTCCTATTCTTCTCTAAATAAATTCCCTTCTACTCACCAGCAGGTCAGTGGTAATCAGTACTCGGCTAGAGCCAGAACGGAACTCCCTCATGATCACATCTCGTTCCTTTTGGTCCATATCTCCATGCTAGAAAAGAGAAACATATATCAAGTAGTCACACAAGCACCAGGAAGACTGGCTTGGGCTGATAGACCCATAGTAGACTAGTAATAAGAGAAAAATTCACCATGGCAGACACAGTGAAATCTCGGGCATGCATCTTCTCAGTGAGCCAATCAACCTTCCTTCGGGTGTTGATGAAGATGACTGCCTGGGTGATGGTCAGGGTTTCATACAAGTCACACAGTGTATCCAGCTTCCACTCCTGGAGGTGGGGGGGGGGAGAAACCAGTCAGGGGCTATACCCAACAACTTACTACCAGGCCCGCCTCCTGCACTGGGCCCCACCTCTCGTTCCACATTGATGTAGAATTGGCGGATACCCTCCAGGGTCAACTCTTCCTTCTTGACAAGAATCCGAATGGGGTCCCTCATGAACTTCTTGGTCACCTCAAGCACATCAGAAGGCATTGTAGCTGACAGCAAAACCACCTAATGCAAAAAACAATCAACCTTAGGGTGATGGATACTTCATTTGACACTTGTTGCTGTCCCCCAACAAGCCTAAAACTACAGTAAATGGCAGAGTACGGTTGCACGGTTCGCGTCCAGAAATCTGTATGGTTGGTTCCTCTGGTACTTGATACTGTTCTTTACCCTAACTACACTGTAATCTAAAACCATTGCTATGTAAGACAAAAAATAGTCTTTCTCACCTGGGTGTTGCTGTTGAGCTTCTGGAATATGTCATATATCTGGTCCTTAAATCCACGGCTTAGCATTTCATCAGCTTCATCTAGTACAAACATCTTGATGTATTTGGGAGCTAGATTAGGAAGAAAAATACCAACATCCATATGTAGTAATTAGGAAAATGTGAAATGTATTCTTTCCTGATAAAGAATATGGAGGGGAGAGGTGGTCTGCTCTCAGAAGACAGAAACTGATCCTTTGCCCAGGACCTCCCTGCCAAGCCAAACAAGCCCCGGGAAGTAGAACACTACCTGGGCTGAGATGACAGGGAAGCCAGGCTCAGATGACACGCATGAGGTTCATCACAGAGCAACTCTTTACTGAAGGGAAAACTACCATCCTTGGGAATGGCTTTGGCTTAAACTGTAAGACTAGGAAAGCATGCACAAGAGTGAAGTGACCCAAGGGGCTGGAAAATTGAGTTACTTACACAGGTATCTCCGGTTAAGCATATCAAATACTCGGCCAGGGGTACCCACGATGATATGGGGAGCTTCCATTTGCAGTTTTTGCACTTCAGCACGAACGTTGGTGCCTCCAATGCAGGCATGACAGGAGGCACCCATGTAGTCTCCTAATGCCATAACCACCTTCTGTATCTGAGGCCAGAGAAGACAGGTATCCACATATCAACTATGTAACTATACCAGCCCTGTCCCACCCCCACCTTCTGAAATAGGTGTCTCACTCTATTGCCCTGGGTAAAGAGCAATAACATCACTCCCAGGCTCAACTTCCCTAACTAGTGAGGACTATAGGCACATGTCATATTGCTTGTCTCATTTTTCTATTGTTTGTAGAGAGTCTTGCTCAGTCAGATTTTGAAATCCTGAGCTTAAGTAATCCTGCCTTGGCCTCCCAGAGAGCTAGGATTATAGCATGAGCCACTGGGCCCAGCCAGCCCCCATTTTTAATGTTCCCTATATATTTGCTATTTTCAACAACCTTCAGATATACATTACTATTGAACTCACTTTTCAGGTGAGAAACAGGCAGAGATCAAATAACCCACACACAACGATACAACTGATTTATGATAATGCACCACAGAATAATTGTAATAGTTTCCTGTTTTTCTTTTTTAAAAGAGACAGAGTCTTACTTTATTGCCCTCAGTAGAGTGCTGTAGTGTCACAGCTCACAGCAACTTCCAATTCCTGGGGCTTAGGCGATTCTGTTGCCTCAGCCTCCCCCATAGCTGGGACCACAGGCACCTGCCATAATGCCTGGCTATTTTTTTGTTGCAATTTGGCTGGGGGTGGGTTCGAACCCACCATCCACAGTTTGTGGGGCCAGTGGCCCCTTCCCACTGAACCACAGGCACCACCAGTTTCCTAATCTAGACAGAAACCTATAACGTTTCTGAAAGCTAATTGTGACCTGCTTATCACTTTTCACTACAACCAGGTTTATGAAATGGATGATATATATCCATGCCCTACTGTACCCGTCACAGAAACTCAAGCTAGACAGCAATGTTCAAACTTAAAAAGCATGCATTGGTTCTGCTGTAACTTAACGTTACCTGTATCCAGAATATATCACTACATCTGCCCATATTTATAAATATTCCCTGAGGCTCAGTAAGTTTAAGACTGTTTCTGATTTTTTCCCCTTGAAGGCCCAGAAAGTATGGGCGGTGCCCATAGCTCAGTGGGTAGGGTACAAGCCACACACCAAAGGCTGGTGGGTTTGAACCCAGCCAGGGCTGCAACACAAAAATAGCTGGGTGTTACGGCAGGCACCTGTAGTCCCAGCTACTTGGGAGGCTGAGGCATGAGAATCACTTAAGCCCAAGAGTCTCAGGTTGCTGTGAGCTGTGACACCATGGCACTCTACCCAGGATGACAGCTTGAGACTCTGTCTTGAGGAAAAGAAAAAAAAAAAGACCCAGAAAGAAAATGAGAATCCAGTAGCATAATTTTCTGTGCCCTAGGCATGAAACAGCTCTGGCCACCAACCCAGGCATCAAGCTAGGATGAACAAAGGGCTGTCCGTCTACTCTGCCCCTGACTGATATAAGAGTAACACCACCAATGAGGTGCCTCTTTGCCCATTGCCAGGGGTTTGTTCATAAAGCAGCAACCAAACTCGCCTAGCCAGCAAGGCTTCTCCCAATAGTCTTTGCATTTGACTCAGGAAATGGGTGAAGTGGTGGCTATGTTTAGGTAAGAAATAGTTTATAATTTATAATTAATCCAACAAGTGTTGAGTTATAAATCAACCTGTTTCTCTTTCTCTCTCTCTCTCTTTTTTTTTTTTTGAGACAGAGCCTCAAGCTGTTGCCCTGGGTAGAGTGCCATGGCATTACAGCTCATAGCAACTTCCAACTCCTGGGCTCAAGTGAGTCTCCTGCCTCTGCCTCCCAAGTAGCTGGGACTATAGGCGCCTGCCACCACAACGCCTGGCTATTTTTTTTTTGTTTTGGTTGCAGGCATCATTGTTGTTTGGCGGGCCCAGGCTGAATTCGAACCTGCCAGCTCAGGTGTATGTGGCTGGCGCCTTAGCTGCTTGAGCCACAGGCGCTGAGCCCAACCTGTTTCTCTTACTATGAAGCATCCACTTCTTCCCTCAAGGTATGAGTTGACGGCCCTGACTTTTAGATTGCAGTGGTCATCCCTAAATTGGCCCTTCAAGAGGGAAAAGAAGCTATGTTTTTTCTTACCTGCTGAGCCAGTTCTCGAGTGGGTGCCAAGACCAAGGCCTGAGTGGCCTTTAGATCCAATTCAATCTGCTGCAAAATCGAGATAGCAAATGTGGCTGTTTTCCCAGTCCCAGATTGGGCTTGAGCGATCACATCATAACCTAAACAAAATAGGAGGCATTAAATGTGGTAAAGGATTATGTACTTTTGGGCTCATGAAACTTTCAAGGCTTAATGACATCCCTTAGCAACCAGCATTACACATCTAGCATGCTTCAGAAACTTTACCTCACCAATCACCATAGTTACACAATGGGAACAGATCAGGAAATAAAGACATGTTATTAACTCACTTAGAAAACCAACCAAGTGGCTACAATACTACCCATTAAAGGAAAACCAGCTATCCATGTGCCCATGTGCCCTAAGCATGAACCAGGCATAAGCACAGATCAAAAGCCAAGCTGGGATAAACAAGAGGTTTCTTTGTCCCTGGCTGATATGAGATGGGCACTACCAACCAGATGCCACTCCACCCAGGTCTGGGACAGTCCTGTCTATGTTCTGGGGATGAAAGGTCTCACCCTTGATACAAGGAAGAATGGCTCGCTGCTGGATGGCAGAAGGCTTCTCAAAACCATAGGCATAGATACCACGGAGGAGGGACTCCGAGAGGTTCATGTCATCAAAGCTGTCAACAATCTCGTTCCAGTTACTCTGTAGGATGCAATGAAATCAAAGCTTGAGCAGTGGGCTGGGCTCTAGAGCAAACAGATCTATTGCCTATACCAAAGCAGTGCCCAATAGTCCTCTCTGGGGGAGAAGCTGCTTTTCACTGTAAAAATGTTAGATCCTCATGGAAGGGGCTTCACTAATTTTGAGTTAGTATGCATTTAAGACGAACCTTCTGTTCTTGAATTTATACTTCCATCATGGAACACAACCTCTAGACACTTGCAGACACAGTGTCTCTACCTTTGTCAGATTTAAAGTACAGTAGTAGTAGGGGTCCAGTCTCACCTCGATGACGCCTTCGGGCTCCATCCCATCAGGTCCATTGTCTCTGGATCTGTTGGTTTAAAGAACGAAGGTTTGTCTCCTGCCCGCATGAAGCACTCACAAATCCAGACAGCCAGGCTCTTTCAAGTAACTGACCATGCATGATACCATCAACTTTCACTTCCAAATCCAAACTCCCCCAAATTCTCAGAAAATACTCAGGCGAGTTAATTTGAAACTGAACCAAGTCTTTGCTCCGTCCCTGGAGTAACTTAAGCCAGGCTGCCGTGGAAATGATGGGGGTAACCCTCCCTGAAGACCCGGAGAATGGAAAGCGTGCCACCATGCTCCTAATGCCTGGAAGTGGTGCTCGCCGCCGGGCCCACGCCTCTAAGTACTGGGTGTTCAAAACCAGAGCGCGTGCACCTCCCAGAGCGGCACCACAGCGCCGGAAGTCCCGCCCTTCACCTCCCAGATCGCGAGTAGGACATCCCCCTTCCCCCCACGTCATCCCGCCCGCGGCCTCCCCCACCCGAACTAACCCCCCCTCACGGTACCCGGATGTGGGAGGCCGCGGGCGGTGGCGGCCTCGCGCACAATGAGCCCTAGCAGAGCTAGCTAAAGGGGACATTGCACAACACTTAAAAGCTAAGCAGATTGGGGGAGGGGAACACCTCAGGCCGCCATGTGCTCACTCCCTCGACCACCCGGCGGCGTACCCCCCCACCTCCATGGAACAATCCACAGCCCGCCCGCCCCCGTCGCGAAATGGCGTCGCCCTCCCATACCTCAGGCCGCTCACCCCTGAAGCAAAGTGGACCTGCCCATCCGCAGTTTGCCAATTGCCCGGCTTGTGCGGCAAAATGGACCCGCCCGCCCGGCGCCGGGTGGGCTCCTGGTGCCTCACGCGGCTGCTCCTCGGGGTTAGGCTCAATCCTGGCCGTCAAGAAAACCAGCACACTAAACGGCCGGCTTCTTTTACCCCGACCCGTATTTCAACCGCGACGAACCGACTGGATCTGAAGACCCAGCCACCCCCGCCTCTCCCGAGTGGTACCGTCAGAATCCTCCTGAGTCCCCAGCGCGCGAACCCTCCCCCCCGGCACAGTGAGGCAACAGGACCTGCCGGCTCTGGGCCACGCAGTTTCGGCCGCCTCTGCTTTTCTTTATCATTTTAAGTCGCGACCTCATCTCACCACTCAAAGCCGGGACTTCGCGCACGACACCAACTCGGGTCGAGTCCGCGTAACGAACCTCTCAGGCTCGGCGCTAGCCGAACTGTCCTCGCCCTCTGCTTCGGCCCTGGCAGCACTATCGACCGTGGACATCTCCCCACACTCCCCCAGAATGACTCCTCCCAACTTGGTTTCCCCCGCAACCCTGGTGGGCTTAGGGTCGTGGGCCTCTCAGCTTCCTCTCGGAAGGGAACGGCAGGGTAAGTAGGCAAACCTCTTGCAAATGCCTTTCTTACCGGGAATCCTGGCTCGCAGACATGATCCTTAGAAACTAGGGCGGAGTGCCCGCCTATCGACAACTTATAAAGCGCCCGACCCCGCCCCAGCCATCGCATTGGCTTGTCCGCCTCGGCCCCGCCTGCCGGCGCTCGGCAACTTCGCGTGACGTTAGTTCGGAGGCACTTAAACACTAGGCCACCATTGGATAATGTGA